TTAACGAGGTATCAGCAGGCACAAGACATTCAACCCTCCCACGGGCAAAGCACAAGTGGTGGATGTATCTCAATGAGGGAGCAGAAGAATGGAACTCACGCAGTAGAAGGCCCAAAGAGGGTTAAATGGGCATATCTCTTAACATTAAACAGCAGTGGAGCTCAGGCTGATATACAAAGGATAAAGGCCAGTAACTTCCAGTTTGAAGTGGGTCACAGGTGACGTGGTGTGGCTGTTTTACTGCACTGATGGAATCTTACTGTGCCGAAAGAAGAAACTACCAGTGGAGATAGATGGGAATGTGCTCAAAAGGAGAACTTGGTCTTACAGCTGCAGACAGTCTTTTGCACGTGCCTCCTCCTCATTTACGCTGGCACTGGGTGGACGGCAGGGACAGTTAATATAACACATGTTATAGGCTCTCTGTAGGCTCTACTTTAGATGAGGAGGAGGTCACAGATAAGATTGGAAGTTCAGATAGCAGATGTGTGTTAAAACAAGAAGGTCTCACCAGAATCTGCCGTTAATAAAAGCCTTTTGGACAAAAAGTAGGCAAATTGGGCCATCAGGAGTATTTTGCTGAAAGTTGACATGCATATGTACCTAAAATGGACTATTAGAGTTGTAGAATTTTGTTGCAACTCTTAGTGCTTGTGATCGTGCATTGTAACATGTGAAATATAAACATTAAATACTAGGTGCAGCATATGGAAACACAGTCAAGGGGAAATTGTTGATTAAAACAATTATTGTCAGTGCCGCTGAACACATACTCCTAAAATCTGATTGAAGGGGGGATCACTGAGAATTATATCATAAACCAGCTCTTTTCCCAAGAAAAACGAGACGAAATAACAAACAAACTAAATATTTTTAAAAAGCTTGCAGACTTTTCAGGTTCCTAAAAAAAAACCCAAAACTCTAAACCATGAATCTAACCTGCACTTTTTACACCCAGCTTTGTCAGCCGTTTTCCTGACTAATTTTCCTACGAGCAGAGAAGCAGACAGTAAGTCAATATCCACAGACGCCCGCTTGTGAGCTGTGATCGTCAATAATATGGCTTCGTTTATCTTGCTCATATCAATAAATCTATCACTATTAGGTGCATGTGGCATTAAGAAAGAAAAAAAGAATCCGTTGTTCCATACAGTTCCGAGTGTGAGCGTGTAACAGATGGGCTTGGTGGAGGGGGCCCAGCCATTGATTTGACCTTGAAGTGGACAGCTGAAGTGAACTGGAATTGCTGGAGTGGGCAGAACATGGCCATCGCACGCTGGAAATGAACCTATCTCTGTCCAATAATGTGTTGGGTGGGACTGCCTTTGCATTTTTGCCGGAATTCTAAAAATTGTATTATCATTTTTCTAAATCAAGAATGTGTTTCTTTGTCAGGCTGAGAAACAAAGGGGAGGAGAACTGATGCAGCAGAATCCTGTCCTCCTCCTGCCCACCTCTGAGTCCAGCTCTGAGTCCAGCCTAACTAAGCCTCAATAAAGCCTGACTTCGCCGATTCTCGAGAGACTTGGAGGGGTAGGGGTGTGTGTGTGTGTGTGTGTGTTTGGGGGTGGGGTGGGGGGAGTCCATATTGCCCAGACATTAACAAGCATCTTCACCTTTTAACAACCACGGTCCCGTTTAGCTGAAGCGCTCCCCCGGGACGTCAGATATCTGCTGATGAATTATATATCAGAGCCGGAGATGAAAGGCAGCTGTGGGAGCCAAGAACATAGCCGAGGGACGACAAGGAGAGCAGACATTTAGGGCCGCTTAGGCTGTTTGTTTTGGGACCGTCCGGGGAAAGCCAGGAGCCCCAAACACAAAACAAAACTGTGAATGAAAAACTACGGTTGCCCGGTTATGATCACCAACCAAACACCCAGCCCGATTGGGGATTTTTTTTTATCTTGACGAGTTAACCGAATAAGGTTAATCGTAACGCTGGTGTGTGTTTGTGTGTGTGTGTGTGTGTTTTCTAATAAAAGACCATTAAGAAAATGTGTTTTTAATCACACACTATGTGACATAAAGGCCGTGGGGAGGACAGTGTGTAGTGTATATTGATTTGAGGCTTCTGTAGCAGCCTCGCAGTCTGCTCATCTGGCATGTAGACTCCTAATTATCTCTCTAACCTGCTGCTTTCTGGAGAGCATCACCTAAAATCTTCATCTATGGGGGCGGCCGAGGCCAAAGCTTCGGACAGAAAAAACAAAACAGACAGTAAAGCTACGGCAGTGTGGGATTAAATCGGAGCACTAAAGATCGACGAGGAGACCAGAGTGGAATTAGCTCCCGATAATCCAGCACAGACCTTTCTAATCCAAAACATGACAAAAGTGTTGGAGACCATTGTGAGAGGAAGGCATTGGGGTAAAAGAATATGTCGTTGTTGTTTTTGGTCGATTAAGGCATCCTGCTGTCCTGCCTTACCCGATGAACTTGACACTCCGTAAACAAGTGTGGAAGGTATTGCTGAAAATGATCAATAAAATATAAATGCATGTTTTTTTTTAATGCTGCGTCCTTGGACACCTCTGCCCCTTCTAGTTTCCATTGGCTGCTAAATTCCTCACCCTCTCTTCTTCTTTCTATCTCTCTCTCTCTCTCTTTCTCTGTCGCACACACAGACTTTCTCTCTTCATAAAACTGAGCATCCCTAAGCATAATCCGCATCCAACAAGGTTATCCGGAAGGAAATTAATCAAAGCCGCTTGATGGGCCACGACCAAAACGCTTTATTAACCCAGGCTTCTGGAGACAGAAGTAAGTGGCATTTAATACTTTTTTTTTTTTACCCTCCATGATTTATTTTTTCCCTTAAATCGATGGTTAACTGCAGGGAGCGCGCGATAAAATGAGGCGAGCCTACAGAGAGATAATTGAGGAGGCGTGTTTGGGGGGGGGGACTTTTTCCTGACTGTTTGGGCCCTGCCCGGAGCAGAGGAGCATCAAGCGGAGAAATCGGAGGACAGGGCTCAGTTCTTGTTCTTCAGACGGCAAATTCAAACGTTCAGACTAGATAGCTGTGACAGAGTCGTGTTGGACCATTTGACTCTCACTCCTGTTTCCACAATACAACCAACTGGTTTTTGAGAATATCTCAATACTGTAACTGAAACTTCATTTTCACCGATTTTTTTATCATAGGGCGATATGGTTTTTATTTTCTATTAATTCAATGAAATGATGTATTGTTTTTATCTATTATAATACAACTAAATGTTTACTTATAGCTATTATAATCGAAAAATGATTAAATCAACATTGCAACAACAACAATAAATAATAATAATAATAATAATAATAATAATAATAATAATAATAATAATAATAATAATAATCGGAAAGATGCGGTCTGTGCGGGACGGTGGGTTTCGGGGGTGGAGCGGCTGTCTGGCAGTCAGCTGCTCTCATAAACACAATGCTTGTCTTTGTTTTATTTTCGTGACGCAGAAAATGAGAAGAGGCCTGAATGCGGAGTCGTGGCTGGCGTCCTGTAATCAGGCCAGCGCGTGCCAACCGGATTATCTCGTTAATTTCTTACAGAAAGAAGACGATGGTGAAGATTGAAAAAAAAAAAGCTATATTGTGGCCAGTAATAATTAACTGAACGGATGCGGTGAAAATGGTTGCCCAAGATTAAAAAAAAAGAAAAAAAAAAAAGGACAGATTGAGTTTAGGTCTACTCACAAAGCGGCCGTTGATGGCTAAAAATGGGGGATCCGAGAGTCCTGCAGCATGTTCCACAGGTAGTCCGAGACCCTCACTGGGGGCCTCTGAAATTCAGTCTTTTAAAAAGGGAAAAAAGGCTAAGATATTTCTAAACGTTTATTTTCCGTCTAATTATGCCAAACCTGACTCCAACTTCCTGAAAATGTGAATTCACTTATGTGTAAAACAAAAATAAAAATGGCTTTTGGATTCTAATGTCCAACAAAAATATTCACTAATCTGAGTAAAAATCTGTATTCAACCTGTTTTATTCTATAATTCATTAATGTCAAGAACTTTGAGGAGCTTTTCTGTAGCGTTATTCATCTGAATAAATCCTCTGAGCGGTCGTTCAGTAATCTTTTCATGACGAGGAAAGCGATTAAATAAGATAAGTACAAAACATGACACTGGTTAATTTATTTATTTATCTCCCTCCATAGATATACAGTGAGCTATCTCCTTGTTTGTTTAGACGAGGCGTTCCTCTCTAATCAACACTTTTCGATAAGTCTCACCTTCTAAATCTAATTACCGGGAGCAATTCATTAGAGAGAGAGCTGAAACCACACCGAGGAGTCTCAAGAAATAGGCCCCCACTTTTTTACTCTTTTTTTTGGGGGGGGGGGGTGGGGGGCTCCTCCTCCCTTCTTGAATCATCTGCTAAAGTAGCCCATTTAAATTTCACACCATTTGAATGTAGTTTTTGTTTTGTTTTGTTTTGTTTTTTAGTGGAAACACACAATGACCCTCCATATTTAGAAATAAAGTTGCTGCTGGTGTCTGAATGGGCGCTCAGTTTGCAGCGCTGGCTACTTTGTTTGTTCCCCTTAAGTCTTTTGTTATCAGCATTACTTATCGGTGAACACTGGGCTTTGTTTCTGCAAATGGCCCCCCAATCAGCTGTCTATTTAGCTTGGGCCAACCTGTGGGTATCTATGCTAATTGGGAGCCCTGTAGGGGCCCAACGAGTGTGCGCATTTTAACGACAATGTTTTGTTTTGGGTGGTACTAGGAGGGGGGGTGGGTGACATGAGGCGGGGTTATAGGAGCTGGTGGTGTGGCTGGGGGAGGAGGGCTGGGGGTGAGGAGGGGGGGGGGGGGGGTGACGGTGGCGTAAACGTCTGTCAGCCTGTAGAGCATCCTCAGTCCGCCGGGGACAGCTGGGGGTCTGCGCCCGGCTTTAAGAGCGCCGCCACTCGGAGGACGCGCACTTCTCAGAGCCCACCGCTGCGCGCAAAGCAGCGCGGACAAAACCGGCGGACACAGACTAATCTGAACCCTCTTTTTCTCTCTCTCTCTCTCTCTCTTTGCGCCCCAAAAGAACATTTTGTTTGCGTGTCGCTTCAGGTTCAGTTCAACGACTTGACAAAAAAGAAAAGAAAAGGAGACGCCGGAGGATTAAAACATTATTTTTTTGCGCCATTTTCCCCCCTCAGATTTCTATTTTTTCCCTCCCCTTTTTCACTTTTTTTCCCCCTCTTCGGCGCTTTCTCGACCGGCCGCCAGCATGATGTCCTATCTGAAGCAGCCGCCCTACACGGTGAACGGGCTGAGCTTATCTACCTCCGGAGTGGACCTGCTGCATCCTTCTGTCGGATACCAAGGTAACAGGCGTCCCAAAACACCCTGCGTGCACCTCCAATGATATAATAATAACAATACTAACAATACTCCAGAAGAAGACAAGCCATTTCTGGCATGCGTTACATTTAAATGCCAAATATTTTCAACATTTGTCACGATTTGTCTTTCCCATGGGTTGTACACAAATTGAAAGTGCAGTGGTGATTTATACTTTTCTAACTTCTGCCTGCTTTCCAATGCTTCTCAGCAACTCCTCGCAAACAGAGGAGAGAGAGGACCACCTTCACTCGGGCCCAGCTGGACGTGCTGGAGAACCTCTTCGCCAAGACGCGCTACCCGGACATCTTCATGAGAGAAGAGGTGGCCTTAAAGATCAACCTGCCGGAGTCCAGAGTGCAAGTAAGTCAGGATTGGGGTCGAATGGGTCATATCTATTGAATGTGTGTCCCGGATAGGTGAGAAAAGTCCCCCTTCAGGCCCGAGCGTCGCCCTTCTATTTTTTCGATCGTTTACAGAAGGCCAACTGGCAGCAGGGGAGATTTAACTGATCATGTCGTTGTAAAAATGCGAGCACGATTCGACCGACATGCGTTTGTTCTCCCAGGTGTGGTTCAAAAACAGACGGGCCAAGCATCGCCAGCAGGCCCAGCAGAGCCAGGCCGGGACGCAGAGCAAGCCCGCCAGCAGGCCGGTGAGGAAGAAGGGCTCCCCGCTCCGGGAGGCCGGTGAGGAGAGCGGCGCCAGCGGCCAGTTCACGCCGCCCTCCAGCACCCCTCTGCCGGCCGCCAGCAGCAGCGCGGCGCCCGTCTCCATCTGGAGCCCGGCCTCCATCTCCCCCCTCCCGGACCCGCTGTCCACCTCCTCCTCCTCCTCCTCCTCTTCTTCCTCCTGCATGCAGCGCTCCTACCCCATGACCTACAGCCAGGCGGCGGGCTACAGCCAGGGCTACACGGGCTCCTCGTCCTACTTCCCCGGGATGGACTGCGGCTCCTACCTGTCGCCCATGCACCACCAGCTGACCGCCGCGGGCTCCGCCGTGAGCCCCATGGGCGCCGGCGGGGCCCCCGGCCACCTGAGCCCGGCCTACGGGCCGGCGGGGCTGGGCTTCAGCGGGCCCGCGGACTGCCTGGACTATAAGGAGCCGACGGCCTCCGCCTGGAAGCTCAACTTCAACTCGGACTGTTTGGATTACAAAGACCAGGCAGCGTGGAAATTTCAGGTGTTGTGAAGGAAGAGGGGGAAAAGGGGGGGGGGGGGGGACACGTTCCACGAACCGCAGACTCTGAAATCCAGATGATCCCGGGGTCAGGGGCAGCCAGAGCCACCACAGACCCCAATCTCTACCTCGGGTTAAGCGGAGCAGGCCTGCCAGGCGGTTGTCTGACTTATTGGACTAACTTACGGAACAATGAGACTGACTTCTCTCAAACTTTGATCAGGGGCACGGAACAAATGCGAGAGGGGGGGGAAAGCGAGAGAGCCCAGCCTAACGCGGTTGAATTGGAAGGATTGGTCAGGTTTCCCTCTAAGCTCCTTAAAAACTCCCCCTCTTGTCTTTCTGTTTAATTTTGTCGGCACCCTTTGATCAAAGCAGTGCGGATGAGTGTGTCTGTGTGCTACACAGAGCGTCTGTGTTGTGTGTGTCTGTGTGTGAGAGAGAAAGAGAGCAGATCCTGAACCTGGATGCACTATTTAATTTATGAGAAAATATAAGACTACGAGACAATCAATCCGCTTGCGTATGAGCATAAATATTTTGTTTGTCTGTTTTTTTCTGGTGTGTGTGTGTAGGGGGGGGGCGGGGTGTTTTTGAATGACCATTTCCCCTTTTTCCTGTCCCTTTTTCTTTTTTAACTCTTGTGATTCTTTGTACTGCCTGTATGCAATCGTGCTTTTGAGCCACAAAGCAGCTGTGAATTTGATTCCCATCCCTCCGATGTTAAAGTGATGAATTGTGAAAAGGACGTTGTTAGTTGGAAGTTATTAGAACGAGAAAGGAGAAGTCCAGCCAGCCTCAAACAAGCAAAGGTCCATTCGACATGTAAAGTACGGCCACGGAGCCACGAAACGCTTTGATGTTAACAATAAAGACCACTTGACCCACGGTCGCATGTGTACATCCGTCCACTGTGTTTACAGCTGACCAGCCCACGGAGAGAGACTGCTATCATATTTATCCATTATTGAAATTACAATCGACATTCCTGAGTGATCTTAAACGCGTCTGGGCGGTGATTCCTGATAAGAGAGAATGTTTCTCCCACCTGCAGGACGTCCGCACATTTCTATCAACCACCAGGATGCTGTGGGGTGGAAACTATTTGAAGGGATGCGTTAACTCTCAAAAATTGTAATCCCCCACAAAAAAAAGAAAAAAAGAAAAGAGAGATTTTGGTGCGGTTGCACCAATTGTGATTCCGCACGGAGAAAATGTTCCTGTTGCCGAGGAGCCCATCGAGGAGCCAAATAAATCAGTCAATTACAGGAAATTCAT